GGATGGCAGTGGCCTTCGCATCCTGCTCTGCTGTATAAGGGGAGGTGCTCGTTCCTGTACGCGTGTCTACCATGGTGACAGACGCACAACCAAGTGACGGTTCCACTCCTCACCACTTAGACATCCCCCCTGACCGACTTACTTAAGACTGACTCATTCTATGGACCACAGGATCCGTATAGAACCCTGTCAACTATGGTCTCTAGCCTGGACTCTAATACTACGGCCGTCACTACAACATATGTTGCTGACCAGGAGGCATTTAAGGAGATCCCCCATAACTCCTCAGGAATTCTCTAACGTCGCAAACAGGACGACGCGGTCAGCAGATCCTCTCAAGACTTAGACGGCCCGTTGTGCAGCCCACAACTCGGATTTTGGGCCTACCATGCTACACCGAGCAGCCCGCCGGTCAGTACCGGTCCTTGGGAGGGTTCGTGTCCTCCGGGACAGTCGAGTCGTCAGACACAGTCTTTAGCCCTACTCACCCCGTGTCGGTCTGGTCAACGAGGCCCTATCCTTCATACATGGAGTCCTATCACCTGGACAGAAGAGACTCAATGAAGAAAGAGGAGACAAACAGACTCAGACTCAGCAAGTACCATAGGGGAGTGCACATCCATAGGGCAAGGGGATAGGCTAAGGGCTTGGCAAGATTATACCAACTACAGCTTGGTCAAAATCGTGGTCAACGGCTCTGGTCAACGCGGTCACACCCCGGTCAATGCTCCAGTCAACCCTCTGGTCAACGCCCAGTCAACCTCTAGGTCGGCTATGGCTGTCGGCACCTTCTTCCTCGCCAACCTCCCTTCTCTTCCTCCTCCACCTTTCTTCTTTCTCGCCCTTTCTCCTTTTTTCTTTTTTTTTGGTCACCCCCACTGTCTGCCTTCCACTTCGTTGTCCCTCCTTCCTTCTTCCTCTCCGACCTCCCCTACCTTCTCTACTTCACCTTCCTCTCTCCTCCGTGTCCTGAGCTCCACGGCTATGGCCGCTACTTCGTCTTGGACTGCACAACTAATCTTCGGGACAATATCTTCAGCGCAGGTATGCGATAAACCAATCTTGTATCGCTCAACTCTCTCTCTCTCTCTCTCTCTCTCTCTCTCTCTCTCTCTCTCTCTCTCTCTCTCTCTCTCTCTCTCTCTCCTCCTCTCTCTCTCTGTCTTCTTCGTCGCTGTCTCCCTTGGTACGCGGCACCTTCTTCTACAGCGAAGCTATGGCGGACTTCTTCTTCACAGTGGCGCACTTCAGCTATGGCGCCCTATGATGGCGTGCGTCTCTCCCCTGCTGCAACGGCGATGGCGCATGGGATAGCGGGTACCAGCTCTGATACCAGTGCAATCAGACTCACTTTCATTCACCTTCACATGCATACAAACAGGTTGAGCAGCAAACTGGCGACAAGCGCCCACTTCAAACTCAGAGATATGGAAACCCGGAACACAGTTCAAATACAATTTCACTTCAGATGGCTATGGCGCATCAGCGCCTGTACAACTCTCTGTTCGTCACTTGCTCAACACTGTTGTTCGCACACCGGATCACCCTGGATATCCCACACGCAACACATTGTACACTCGCACACTCACACATGCCACTCTCTCTCCTATCGGCTATGGCGGCTATGGCCGCTGCTACCCTATCGCTATGGCTAAGTTTCCTTCTCGCCCACTTCATCTTCGGACCTACTGCAGACCACCTCGCACAAGTCGCTGTGGCAGCGCTTCCGCATGGCTTACACAAGAATGAATGAATAGCTAGGCGCTACCTCTTGATTTATACTTATGTAGCTCGTTGGTCTGGCCCTTTCCCATGCTCGTGGTGCACACAGTCCCGTACGGTACTTGCTTGACTGGACTAGGACTGACTGGGACGGGGACTGCTGACTCAGTACGGGTAGACTCCACCACTTGCCCACTTGCCTAGGTCTAGACGTGAGCAACTTCGAAAGGCCACTACGAGGACCTTCCANTGCCTAGGTCTAGACGTGAGCAACTTCGAAAGGCCACTACGAGGACCTTCCAGAAGTCTGGGCCCTGGCCTTTCGAAGACTGTAGCAGCTACGACCTTGACCCTTCAGGAGCCCTGCAGCTACGACTTCTAGAACTCCCTAAGACCTCTACCCGACAGGTCTACAGATCGAACCCTTGTACCTACAAACTCTACGACAGCTTCCTAACTGCTGCGAACACACACAGGTCACAGGTTCAACTCTCAAGGTCAACATAGATACTGTACACAGATAAGGTGAGAGCTAGGGATCGAGCCCTGGGATCTGCATTCGCTACTGCTAACAGGTAAAAAAACCGTTTGACCCGGGTCTGGAACGTTTTGGCATTGGCAAAAGCAGCCTCCTGGACGGGCCAGCACTATACAAGACTGGCCCGCCCTGCAGGCTGCAGGTAGTCTCGAGGCAGTTCATAGGGACTTCCCAGGCACTTCACGTGCAGGAGGCAGGAGGCAGTCTTCAGGATTTCGGCTGCAGCACTCTGGAGGAGCGCTGYAGTAGTAGTAGTAGCGTTAGCAGTAGTCTTCAGCGCTGGGCGCTATTAGGAGCTAGAGTAGCGTTGGAGAGAGAGAGATGGTTGGCGGAGGCCAGGGAGACCTACCTGTTGTGCCATAGCTCCAGCTTCGTCTTCGATGTACCTGCAACAAGGCGCTACCTTCACAGGTTAGTACCGGACTGAGAGAGAGAGAGAGGGAGTTCTTCTTCTTCCTCTTCGAAGTCCACCATCTCTCCCTCACCCTCTCGCTACCTAACTTCTCAGTATCTGCAGACTATGTGTTACATGCTGCGCCTGCAACAGGCTGCACGGGACATTTTCAGGCCCGTGTTGTTTTCAGCCTGAAAGCCTGAAAACAAGGGCCTAGAGGCTCCGTGTTGTTTTCAGCCTGAAAGCCTGAAAACAAGGGCCTACAGGCCCTGTGTCGTTTCAGCCTAAAACAGGGCCCTCCAGGCCCTGAGTCTTTTCAGCCTGAAACGGAGGGCCATTTTGAGGCCCTCGTAAGATCGACCTGCCCTGAAATGTAGGCACAAAACCAGGGTTTTAGTTCAAGCCATTTTTGGCCTATTTTCAAGACATTCTTTGTTTGAGCTTCAACCCCAGGGTCTGGCACGTTTTGGCATTGGCAAGAGCAGCCTCCTGGACGGGCCAGCACTATATAAGACTGGCTTGCCCTGCAGGCTGCAGGTAGTTCATAGGGACTTCCCAGGCACTTCACGTGCAGCTCAGGAGGCAGGAGGATTCGGCAGCAGCACTCTGGAGGAGCGCTGCAGTTGTAGTAGTAGCGTTAGCAGTAGTCTTCAGCGCTGGGCGCTAGTAGTAGCTAGAGTAGTACTAGAGAGAGAGAGAGAGAGAGAGAGAGAGAGAGAGATTGGGCGGAGGCCAGGGAGACTTACCTGCAGCGCCATAGCTCCAGCTTCGTCTTTGAGGTACCTGCAGCACAGCGCCATCTTCACAGGTTAGTACCTGGCACATGAGAGAGAGAGAGAGTTCTTCTTCTTCGTCTTCTCAGTCCACCATCTCCCTCTCACCCTCTTGCTACCTGGCTTCACTGCATCAGCAGACTACGAGAGAGCGGGATTGGTGACATTTGGATCCATACTCGACATTGGGCTTCACACATTTTGACGAGGGATTATTTGGGACTTGTAACGAAGACTTGGTGTTGACAACATTCCCATGCCCCCCCTCCTCTTCTTCGTCTGATTCCCTCCTCTTCGTCTGTGCATGATCTGGACCTGGTGCATTCTTCGTGTGTGTAGCGCCAGGCCCCTTCACACCTTGTGATGAGGCTGATGTATGTTTGGTCTGCGTTGCGACATTGATTGGGCTAGTCATTGGTATTCTAGCATTCTTCTGCGCTGTCTTGCACTACGTGATAGAGGTCAGTCCCGGTCAGGTCAGGGCTTATATCTAAGTCTCCCACTGCGTTACAAAGCACCGTCTTTTGTATGTATCAGGATGTACACTGCTTGTTGAGATTCCACTTGCACTGCATTGTCCATTCAGTCCTTTTCATCACACTGCGGATCCTTGATTAGATATGTACATCGCCCAACTGGGCATGCAACAGTTGGTATCGGAACACCGCACGTGAATCAGGATAACCTGATCCGACACATGTGCGGGGACTAATTAGTTGATTAGTCTTGATTGATTGATTGTTTGATTGATTAGAGCACACTAATTAGGCCCCAAAATCACGATTTTGACCTCACTCCTGCTATTTCTGTTGTGGAAAAATCGCAATAGCGCAACACCTGAAATTTCCGTTTTTATTTTTCTTCTGAAAATTCGAAATTTCGTTGTTGGCACTTGTTGGAAATATCTTTTTTTTGAAAATTTTCGATTTCCTGTTGCAACTTCCTGTTATTTGGAAATCCAAAATATTTTTTGTTGATTTCCGAAATTCGTTTTTTTTTAAAACAGGTACAGGAAATCCCTCTTTCCAAATTGCGCGTACTCTCATCTGAGTAATTCCGAATTTTTATTTATTTATTTTTTTCGGAATTCTGTTTTCGTTGTTCTTTTTTTAAGGGAGATTGGGAGACCTACTGAACTTGCAAAACTCGGGATTTTTATTTTCTCAAAAAAAAAATTCTCTCTGCAAAAGTTCAAACTTTTCTTTTTGATTAGTGGCTCCTTATCTGGGCGATTTATCCCACCCACCCTTCCCATCCATGTTGTTGCCCCTCTGGTCTACTCTTCTTCTTCATCTGATTCCAGGTACCCCTACTGCGGCATTGGTAAGTTGCCATGTCAGCAGGCCATGTCAGCAGTGACACGTCAGCAGGCCATGTCAGCAGTGACACAGCAGCAGACCACGTCAGCAGGCCATGTCAGTAGGGACACAGCAGCAGACAACGTCAGCAGGCCACGTCAGCAGTGACATGTCAGCCGACAGCCAGGCCATGTCAGCGGCCGAGCAGTGCCACGTCAGCAGCAGGGGGTGCCACGTCAGCAGCCCTCCGGCCTGGTCTACGTGCTCATAAACAGCCGCCATGGATCAGAAGTCCGGGGAAACGACCGCGACCTATCAGACCCGAATGCTGGCTTGGAGTACCGAAGCCAAGCAATGGGCGGATGCAGTAGCAGCCGCAGAAAAGAAGAAGGCGGAGGACGCCGAACAGGCACGTCTGTTGGCAATCAAACAGCAGCGCCAGCACGACGAGGCAGCAGCAAAGGCTGCCGATGAAGAACAAACTCAACGACGTGAGAAGATGTTCAACGGAGAGCGAGCTTTTCTCACAATGGCAGCGGACTGGCGGGGTGAGGTCGAGAATGGTAAGATGGAAGAGAGTGAAAGCAAGATCGCTTTACTCCTCTCCCATATCACGGACCTCCTGGCACTGTGCATTGCACAACAAGAGGACATCCACAACCTCGACGCCGCGGTTCACACGCACAAGCAGGCGATTGATCAAGTCAACAACTGCCTCCAGCAGCTGCAGCAACGACCGTCACCGATGCCAGCTCCTCCAACACCTCCGATCGCCTCAATGCATCGGAGATTGACTTCGGAGCCCTCAAGGACGACGTGCTGCCACGCAACAACTGGAGCAGCGGATCTGTACTGTCGCCACCAACCCGAGTTTGGCACCATGCGAGTCGACTCCAAAGTTCAATGATCAGGGGATCTTCTGCGATTCGACGAAGACGGACCCGATTCCGTGGTTCCGCAAGTTCGAGCTCAAGTTGCAGCTACACCACGTCAGCGAGGACAAACATCACGCATACTTGTACTCCCAATTGGGGGGCGCGTGCCAAGCATGGTTGGAGAATCTCTTGTCCAAGTACGGGGTGGTAGCTGCCGACTTGTACACCGAGATCAGCTGGGGTGATCTAAAGGCGGCGTGGCATAAGCGGTTCCAAGTAGAGTCACCGGAGATCAAGGCAATGGACACGTTGATGATCTTCGAACAAGGCACGCTGTCGAGTGTTGACTGGATTGTCGAGTACCAACACTTGACATCCGTCCCAGACATTGAGATGGGTTTCAAGGCCGTCAAACACTACTTCATCACGAGGTTGTGTCCGGCGTTGGGCAACGCCTTGACTCATGTCGAGGATACCCTGACGACAACGGCGGAGCTCTTTGACAAGGCCGCGCAGATTATTGTCACGAACAAGGAGGCTAAGAACCTCAACCGTTCGTCTGCGCCAGGCCCGCACAAAGATCAACATCGGCCAAAAGTGGACGTGGTCGCGGCGGCAACGCCAACCGACCAATCTAGCGAGGCCGTGTCTGCCAATGAAGGGGACAGACTCGCAGCCGCCAGGGATGGTGGCCGCCCTGGTAGAAGCCGAGGACCCGGCAAGCCGACGACAAACACCACATTTATCCCCGGGCTAGGGGCAGCAGCTTCAACCCCTTGAACCCACTACGGCCTCTCGGAGCAAGCATACAAGCAACGCATGAGATACCGCTACTGTCTGTGGTGTAACAACGATCTCCACGACACAGTGGGCTGCCCACTAAAACGCAAAGGCAAATCGAAAAACTGAGCACCACCGAGAGTGACTCGACGACACTCTCGATGCCTTCGGAACCGGTCGCTTCGTGTGTGACCGCCGTTTGTTCTGAGGCACATGTGGAAGTCGATAGTCCTCCTCTTCTATATTCTTATGAGGACTATGTTGCCCGGCTCGTTCCTACGCTGGGTACTCATGCTCAAGGGCAAGACATGTGTGCAGCGTCTTCTCCATCCGGCAGCGGCGACTGATCGTCTTCAAGTGGTTCTTCAATGGATTCGGCGCGCGATCTCAGCATAGAGGTCTTGGACCCACTCACGTCGGAGGATTTCGCATGGCTTCCTCTCCCGACCACGGGCCGCTTGCCGGGACCACAATGTGCAGCATTATGCGCTCATCTTCACACATACTTATCCTTCTATGCACCACCAACTTCGCCAACGGATGACGAAGTCACAGCGGGGGACATCCTTGCGTATGTTACCAAGGTGGCCCTCGAGTTTCGCAAGCAGTAGTACGATGACAACAACGCACCGCTCCTCTATGTCCACGTCCAAGTTGGGAAAGCGTCCTGCAACACTTTGTTGGATAGCGGGTATTAGCGGCACGTCTCACAATTTCATGAGCCAAACATTTATGCAAAGGGCTGGCCTTGGCGCACAAGTTCGGAGGAAGGAAAACCCGACGACGATCAAGTTGGAAAATGGAAGGATGCAACAACTTATCGACCGCTACGTCGAGGCCGTACCGGTGTATTTCGCACCTCATCCATGCGAACCGGTGACGTTCGACATTTTGGACATGGACTTCGACATTATTTGGGAATGCCTTGGCTTGCAAGTGCGGATCACACGGTCAACTTCCACCGGCGGACTCTTACCGTTTGGGATGCCTTCGGCGCCGAAGTGTTGTGTACTATTCCTCTTCTGCACCCTTCGATTCAATGCCAAGCGGTGACGGCCAAGTCATTCCGGGCTACTTGTGCTTACGAGCAGCCTGACGAAATCGGCTTATGTTTCCTACGGACCGTCGCGGTAGTCAACTCTTCACCCATGGACTTGTCTTCGGACCCCGAGTGGTGCAGTTGCTTGACGAGTTTGCCGACATCTTCGAGACACCTACCGGTGTGGTGCCAGATCGGCCGATCTCTCACGAGATCATTCTTGAGGTCGGTGTCGTGTCGCCGAAAGGTTGCATTTATCACATGAGCGAGGAGAAGGTTATGGTCCTCCGCACTCAACTCGACGACTTGTTGGACAAGGTATGGATTCGCCCTAGTAGCTCCCCATATGGAGCGCTTGTTCTCTTCGTACAGAAGAAGAACAAGGATCTACGATTGTGCATCGACTACCGCAAGCTCAACGCGCAAACCGTCAATAATGTGGGGCCTCTTCCTCGTATCGACGATCTTCTTGAGCGATTGGGTGGTGCAAAGAATTTTTTTAAGTTGGATTTGAAGTCGGGATATCATCAAATTTCGATCCGGCTGAACGATCGCTACAAATCCGCGTTCAAGACGCGGTATGGGCATTTTGAGTGGATGGTCATGCCTTTCTGACTCACCAACGCTGCGGCGACCTTTCAAGCGGCAATTACCAACGAGTTTCATGCGATGTTGGACCGGTTCGTGCTGGTCTACTTAGACGACATTCTCGTTTATAGTCGGACATTGGAGGATCATTTTGAGAACCTTCGACGAGTGTTCGAGACGCTCCGCCGCACCAAGTACAAAGCCAACCGCGACAAGTGCAAATTTGTCCGGCAAGAGCTGGAATACTTGGGTCATTTTGTCACACCGGAGGGTATCAGTCCGTTATCGGACAAGATTCAAGCCATCCAAGAGTGGTCGGAGCCGCGGAACGTCACGGATGCCCATTCATTCCTTGGCCTTGCCGGCTACTACCAACGTTTTGTCACGGGATACTCGAAGATCGCGGCCCACTTGACCAAACTTCAATGCGAGGATCGACCGTTTGACTTCGGAGAGGATGCGCGGGGATCATTTTTGGCTCTCAAAGTCGCGCTATTATCTGCTGAGGTCTTGCCCATATACGACCCGCTATTGCCAACGTGCGTCACTACGGATGCGTCCGGCTACGGCATTGGTGTCGTCCTCGAACAACACGATGGCGTGGACTAGCACCCAGTCGAGTACTTCAGCAAGAAAGTGTCCATCGTGCACTCCATTAATGATGCACTCGAGAAGGAACTCCTAGCTGTCGTCCACGCGCTTAAGCGGTGGCGGCACTTCCTCCTTGGTCAAAGTCAATTTCAATGGGTAACGAACAACAATCCGTTGGTCTTCTACAAGACCCAAGACACCGTCAATAGCACCATCGCCCATTGGATGACCTTCATCGACCAATTCGACTTCTTTCTCGATCACATTCCGGGGAAGTCTAACTGTTTTGCGGATGCTCTTTCATGGCGTCCGGATCATTGTACCGCAGTTTATTTGACCTTTGAGATTGACGACGAGTTGCAGGACAGTTTCATTTCACGGCTACCAAGCCGAACCCGAGTTTCGCGACAAGTACGCGAATTGCTCCTCTCCTAATCCGGCGCCTTCTCACTACCGGATCCAAGAGGGGTACTTGCTTGTCCACACGCGAGGGAAGGACCTTCTTTGCATACCGAGTGACTCTCACTTGCGTACACGGCTTCTTGGCGAGTTCCACGATGTTCCCGCCACCGGACACTTTGGAGTCAATTGCATGATTGGCCGACTTCGCGAGCGATTTTGGTGGTCTGACCTTCTCGGCGACGTCACACGCTATTGCGAGTCATGCGAGGTTTGCCGACGCTGCAAATCCCGCAACCATTGTCCGTACTGCGAGTTGCGACCATTACCGGTCCCCTTGCGCCGAAAGGAAGCAATTGCCATGGACATTACCGGGTCGTTCCCCAAGCACAAGATCGGTGTGGATGGGATTCTCACGATGGTCGACCAACTCACCAAGTTCCCCATGTTTTTGCCTTGCCGCTATCATGCCAAGGCATCGGAGTCCGCCGAGGTTCTTTACGCCGGTTGATTCGAACCAAGGGTTACCCCAAGGAAATCGCCTGCGACCGCGACACTCGGTTCATGTCCGATTTTTGGTTGGCGCTCATTAAACGATGGGGTTCATCACTCAAGCCAAGTTCGGCTCGCCACCCCTAAACCGATGGCCAAACGGAGAGGGCGCATCAGACCACACAGGTTCTCCTTCGCACTCTCATCCGTCCCGACCAAAAGGATTGGGTCGAGCGGCTGCCGAGTGTCGAGTTGGCATACAACTTGTCCATCCACCCGGCTATCGGGATATCGCCATTCGAGTTCGAGCACGGCTCACCGTTCACTTCTCCTTTGGACACAATCATTCCATGAGCGGCCGAGAGCGACAACCATCTTCTTTTCTTGCGTCGGATGCAAGAGCTACTTGTCAAGGAACGCAACCAGATGGCTAAGACGCAGCAATGCATGACCCAACAGGCCAATCGCTAGCGTTTTCCTTGTCCATTCCGCGCTAGCGATCTCGTTTGGGTTTCCGTCGCGGAGTTCAACCTCGAACAAGATATCTCTCGCAAGCTCCTCCTGAAATGGATGGGGCCCGGGCCGATCGTGGAACCCACTAGGGATGCACCCGAAGGACCTTCCTTCATCTAGGTGCCCGCCCACTTGCTCGTCTAGCCAGTCTTTCATTGCTCCAAGTTGGCTCTTTACACGCCAGCCGAACATGACGATTTTCCCGGGCAACGATCGCAAGACCCACCCTCTATGAACGGTTTTCAAGAGGTCAGCGACATCATCTCCTAGTGATGCTACGACAACAGGTCGACCGAATACTTGGCACACTTTGCGTACTGCATCCACAAAGCTGACCGTTGGTTGCCCGTGCGAAACTCCAGGCAATAGCTCCAGATGTTCTCGCACGCCACGAACGCAAGATGCAAGGCAAGCCAGTATCTTCGGCTCCATGTCGCACTCGCGTCCAGGTTTCACCCTCAGATCGTCAGCTTCAAGTCGCCCTCGACCCGACTTAACTTCATAAGGAGGGGAGGGTGTTGCATGTTGCGCCCGCAACAGGCTGCACGAGCCATTTTCAGGCCCGTGTTTTTTTCAGCCTGAAAGCCTGAAAACAAGGGCCTACAGGCCTCGTGTTGTTTTCAGCCCGAAAGCCTGAAAACAAGGGCCTACAGGCCCCGTGTTGCTTTCAGCCTGAAAGCCCGAAAACAAGGGCCTACAGGCCCTGTATCGTTTCAGCATAAAACAGGGACCTCCAGGCCTTGAGTCTTTTCAACCTGAAACGAAGGGCCATTGTCAGGCCCTCATAAGATCGACCTGCCTTGAAACGTAGGCACCAAACCAGGGTTTTAGCTCATGCCATTTTTGACCTATTTTCAAGACATTCTTTGTTTAAGCTTCAACCCTAGGGTCTGGCACGTTTTGGCATTGGCAAGAGCAGCCTCCTGGATGGGCCAGCACTATATAAGACTGCCCCGCCCTACAGGTTGCAGGTAGTTCATAGGGATTTCCCAGGCACTTCACGTGCAGCTCAGGAGGCAACAGGTAGTCTTCAAGATTCGGCAGCAGCACTCTGGAGGAGCGCTGTAGTTGTAGTAGTAGCGTTAGCAGTAGTCTTCAGAGCTAGGCGCTAGTAGTAGCGTTAGCAGTAGTCTTCAGCGTTAGGCGCTAGTAGAGTAGTACTGGAGAGAGAGAGAGAGAGAGAGAGAGAGAGAGAGAGAGAGAGAGAGAGAGAGAGAGAGAGAGAGAGATTGGGCGGAGGCCAGGGAGACTTGCCTGCAGTGCCATAGCTCCA